AATTATCTATGTAGAGATACTGCTTGCAAACCAGTGATGGTAAGATGATGTCATGGGGTAGGACTGGATAAGTCTGACTTCTTCCTACTCCATTCAAGCATGTACTAGGTATAAGCAAACTGATATTGGATTATGTGTAAAATTATGTGTGTTGTCATATCAACTGTTTTTACATGCTTGAAAGAATAAATCAAAATCAAATCAAATCAAATCAAGATAGGCCCTTGTATAGATTTTACTCAACAGATAGAATGGAAGCCAAAATTGTAATGGAGCTTTGTCAAAATCAAACTAGTCTTGAAATCTTGTTATGTGTATTAATACTAGTGTCAATAGCATCAATACAAAAAAGTGATTTATTAGATCTGCTTTTGTCAGTAATAACGTATTGGTAACGCTATTGATATATATGGTGTAAGATTGGTATCCCCCGCATCTAATGGCTAGAGATTAATTCCACATATCAGGTCATACCTATAGTGAGATACAGCATATGTTGTTATTGTCTTATTAGAGAGTCCTTCCTTCCAAGCAATAGACTAAACCGGTCTTGGTTGAAATACGGTGTTACTCAAAAGGAAACTTTGCTCAAGTCTTCACGTCTTAGACCGGGAGACAGCACCACCGTGTGGTGATTTAACAGTCGCATTCACTTCCTGATGACTGGTTATCAACCATGTCAATATTCTCAAAAGTGGGCGGGGCTTACGTGGGATAGTCGTTACGTAACGTAAAACTATTGGTTGAACTATTTTTTTCCTGTTGTGATTGGTGTTTTACAGTCTGTGGGTGGGAAGAATGTTCCAGAGCTGGGCGTAGCAGGAATTTTTGGTAGAACCACGGCGAAGCTAGTTGCACCTTCTCTAACGCTAGTTAATTATGATGTAAGAGTTATGGATTCCGGTTAAATTGTGTTACGGAGAAGAATCAACATTATTCATAAAATTGCTTTTTGAGAGAGATACCATCGAATACATACCTACTCGTAAGTAGCTGTAGCAACGTTGTCAAATAATCGAGGATTCTGTGTACGACGTGATTATGCTGCTGCTAGCCACCCAAACAGCTACCCCTTCTGTGGCTAGCTCACCTAAACTAACGTTAGCTAGCTAAAATGAGGAAATATGTTATGAAATTTGAACGATCATAGTTGATAAATTGATTAACGATGATAGAAAAAGATGGGGATTCACCAGCTTCATCTAAAGATTAGCTTCAGTCCTAGTATATGCTTAATATTCCGGGAATAACTAACTAACGTTACTCTTTGGAAGTAGGTGTAGTCTTTGTTTTTGTAGTCCATTGGAATTACCTTGCAAGAAAACTGAATTGATTAAAGTTGGCATACTATTAGGTTTTATTTATGGCCTGAATTTATGTCACATTATTTCAGAATCAGAATCAGCTTTATTGGCCAGGTGTGACAGACACACGAGGAATTTGACTCTGGTACATCGGCTCTCAATGTGCAGACAGTAAACCAGCATAAGGCTGTGTAATATAACAAAATAGCAGTATTAACATCAACAAACAGTGCAAACAATGCAGAAAAAGCAGTATAAACAGACAGTAAACAATGCAGACAACAAGGAATGTTCATTGAAATGAGATAAATAGGGATAAAAACAGAGTACTTAAAGCTAGAGACCTCTGTGACTCTGTATAATCTGTACAATGTATATATACACAGGTATTTGCGCAGTCCTTCCAGATTTTCGATCAATAGCTGTGTCCAAACAGTGTGGATGATGGACGGTGGAGTGACAGTAGTTACCAACCCCATTGTGAATGTGCGCCTAACTAGCACCATCTCCTCCTTTGAGGCGCAGCGCCGGTTCAATAGAGGGATTAGTATAGCAGAACTGAAGGTGAGCCTTATTTTACTCTTAACACACACTTTACTTAGCTCAAAATTTGTACAGGTTGGCTCGAACTTAATCTAACCTGCACAACACACTATAGCTTAATGAGTTCTTTGCATTGCATGTACTAGTTTGTGTGTACTCTATTTAGGGAAAGTTGGAGATGGTTGTAGGCGCACCTGCCTCCTGCATGGACCTGGAGTTATTCAGTGTCTCTGACAAGTTCCTGCAGAAATTGGATGACAATGAAGCTCTGCTGGGTTCCTATCCTGTGGATGATGACTGCAGAATACATGTATGTAGCTGCTCATTTTAAAAGCTCTTTTATTGTTAACACAGTGGCCTAGGCCACTGTCTTATTGTGCTAAAATATATGAAGCAACAGGTTTTCAGATTGTTGTTTGGTTCCAAATTCCAATTTTGTCTGTGTGCAAGAATACATTTACTTTAAAATTCAATAACACTCAGTTTTAACCTAACACAATGTGAAATCTGTTATGTGCTCACAAAATGGGTGTAAGGGAACGTTTATTTGATTTTATGTTTGCAGTAAAACATTTTAGATTGTCATGAAAATCATACCTAAGCCTGCACCTTCATATTTTATGCAATGAAGGTACAGAATACTTGCTTTTTGTTTGTTTGTTTTTTCTGTGAACTGGTTTGAAAGTGAGACCTTTTATAAGCTGAAAAAACTTTCAGTTTTTAGGTCAAAGACATTTCACCTCTCATCCAAGAGGCTTCATCAGTTCATTTTGAGATCTCTGCCCAAACATGCCCACCAGGACAATAGGCATCGGTCCACAGGTGAGGGTTCAAAGACAGGTAGCGATGCTCACCGATACTGGGCTATAACGACCCCGTTGTTAGGGGACATTGTTGGGCATCAAAGGACTGAAGCACCACCGATGGGGATAAATATCTCCGACTCAACACCAGTCAGTCAGAACTGATGAAGCCTCTTGGATGAGAGGTGAAACGTCTTCGACCTAAAAACCTAGTCCAGTTGATTTTTTTCATCTTACTATGACGTGGATGACTGAGAATTTGCACGGACATGAGACCCTTTATATTTATACAGTGAATAATGGTTACCAAAATAATGATCCTTTTCATGTTGTATGCACTTAAGTTCACCCGCAAGCAGAGAATGTATACAACAGTTGCAGCTCACACATGCGGCTACACGCAACAATGATGGAATACACTGATCATCTTAGCACTGTCATAATTACTGTGCTTGTTTCAAGCTTGAGTGATTTGTAGTTATTGACTAAAATGTGCATAACTGCTGGTGTGGTCTTTTTTTTTTTTTTTTTTTTTTTTAAATCTTGACTCTCATTTCTTCTACAGGTTATTGATAGAAGTGGAGGTCAGATGGGTGAGTTCACTGATGTTTCCAAAGTGGAGAAGTTGGAAATCTCAGATGACGCTTATGGAAAAAGAACAGGTAAGCTCTGCCGTGCTTAAAGTTCTCTTATTTTTAATTCTCACAGCAGTAAGCATTTTCTGTTTTTAGTAGTAAAGGAATATGAAATTTTTCTCCAATTTCATGACCAAATGGTATTGGAGCACATTATACCTACAGTATTAAAAATTATAGCTGGTTTGGGCCAGTCAATGGCATCGGTGTCATCCAGGAACTGCCTACGCACTCTGGCCACATGAGGCTGGGCATTGTCCAGGAACCCAGGACCCACTGCACCAGCGTAAGGTCTGACAGTCGCTCTGAGGATTTCATCCCAGTATCTCACACCAGTCAGGGTACCATTAGCTGTGACATGGAGGTCTGTGCGGCCCTCCAAAGATTTGCCTTTCCAGACCATCACTGACCCACCACCAATCCAGTCACGCTCAATGATGTTACAGCCAGCATAACGTTCACCACGGCATCTCCAGACTCTCTCATGCCTATTACACATGCTCAGTGTGAACCTGCTCTCAACTGTGAAGAGAACAGTGCATCAGTGGTGGATCTGCCAATTCTGGTGTTCTCTGGTGAATGCCAGCCGAGCTGCGCAGTGCTGGGCTGTGAACACAGGTCATACTAGAGGACGTTGGGCCCTCATGCTACCCTCATGGAGTCTGTTTCTGACAGTTTGGTCAGAAACATGCACACCAGTAGGTGCTGGAGGTCATTGTGTAGGGCTCTTTAGCGCTTCTCCTGTTCCTCCTCACACAAAGGAGCAGCTACCGGGTTGTTGCCCTGTCCATCTCTCCTGGTGTAAGGTCCAGTCTCCTGGTATCATGAGACTGTGCTTGGAGACACAGCAGACCTTCTTGCGCCTGTATGTATGGATGTGCCATCTTGGGGTAACTGGACTACCTGACTGGGCTGCAAATACTGCCTCATGCTACCAGTAGTGAACAAGGACACTAGCAAAACACAAACCTTGAAAATAATAATTCAGGTAGAATAGGGGGACAGCATACTTGTGCTTCCTAAATGGACAGATTGATTTTCCTGACATTTAACTGACTTGGTGTTATACTGTCATGATTATTAGTATTCCCTTAATTTTTTTAGCAGTATATGTGCTTTTATCATACCCATGATTCCCTTAATTTGTTTAGCAGTATATGTGCTTTTATCATACAGTGATAAACTTGGTATTGTTTAGAAATGTTAGTTTATTTTTGCTAACCATTCACAAATCACTCACAAGGAGCCATTCAGCCTTATTTACTGTAATACACAGTTTCTGCTGCATTAGCTTGGTTTTTGAACTATCCTGTGCTCTTGCAGACACAGCAAGGCATTTCATTATGAAACAACGTGTTGGCCGCATCAACGAGGAAGAAATGGCCAAGAAGAAAGCCGAGCACACTGCTCGAGAGGAGGAGCAGAAGGCTGCTGCTGATGCCATTTCTGTTGGCAGCCGATGCCAAGTGCAAGTCCTTGGGCAGCCCACCAAGCTTGGCACAGTCATGTATGTTGGTAAGTGTGGATGAGGCTTAGCTGGCTCACTTTTTTTAAGAAACTGCTGTCAATGCTGTGTTACTGAGATTATCTGCAACTGAGCAAATTTTGTTGTAATTCATAGTGACCAAGACCTGTAACACAATGTAGCCAATCTGTCGCTTTTTACTCAATTTTTGAACATTCATTTGAACATGATTTTTAAAAAAAAACCGACGACAACAATTCAAACTGTAATGACATGTTCAAATCCTACAATGTAGGGTATGTCAGTAAGCACTATAGGCCATTTGATGTAATTTCCCTTGGGGTCCAGCAGAGGACGTTTGACCAGTTGCATGCTGTTACAAGTAAGCTTGTAACTTTATGTTTGCAAGGACAAAATGCAGGATAGTATCAAGCAAAGTTGTGCTGATCGGACAATAATGACACCGGAGTGGTGTCGAGGTTAAATGGTTTGTTGACTAAAAAAGCAGATGCCCACTCAAGTACAACACAACCGAGGATTCATTTGAATGAATTTTGTGTCACTTTGAACATTGTTTTAATGTGATTTTTGGAAAAAGTGACAATCCTTATGCAATCCATAGAGGAAGAAATGTAGCTCTTTTTATTCATTACTCTGATAGTTTTAGGAGACCAAAATGTAACTGATGAATTTCACTGCTGAAGTGTTTCTTGTGTTGGTGTGTGTTTTGTTTTGTTTTATGCTTTATTTGCACACTGCTGTTAATGTCCACATGAACCAAAAAAGCCTAGAAAATCAATACATCAATTAGAACCAGTCCTACAAACAGATTTTGTCCTAAATGTCACATGGGAGAGGTTTGAGAATTTGTGACATTAACCAGTTTTTTCATACTTAGAATTTTCTCTTTGATACAAACAAACAAAATTCATGAGTCCAGACCTGTCCTTTTAGTCATGAACAGACAGACTGCTCTTCTTCCCAGGCAGAAATGGCTTGCTGATTTACTTAGTTATTTTTTTAAATTCACTGGAATGTTTCATCATGCTTGCTGTTACATTTCAGTAGCTAAGTAGGAAAGTAAGAAAATAGCCTCAGACAGTCCTCAGGTCTCTGTCCACTGTCGTTCTCTTTTTTATAACACCTGCCAACAGAGCATATGAGCGAAGTTGAGTGGTGAGAAGTTGGCTCGCGCTCCGCTCACATGCTCTGTCTGCTAGTGTAACATCATATACACTAGAATATTCTTTGCCCTAATATCTCACTGATTGTCAATCCCTTTGACTGTATCACACATTAGTCAATGACCTCTTTGCTTTAGAAAATTGTTTTTAGCATCTAACTTCATGTAGCCTGATCATGGCTAACCACTAAGGATAGGAGTACCTGGTGTAATGAACAATTTTGTTACATTCATTGCAGGTACAGCAGATTTTAAGCCAGGCTATTGGGTTGGTGTGAAGTATGATGAGCCCCTGGGAAAACACGATGGAACGTAAGAGCACTATCTGTCTATCTAGCTCGCTATACAAGCACTGCATTATGTCAGTCATGCCTGTCTTGACTTTGCCTGACTCTAACCATGTCCTCTTTTTTTTTTTTTTTTAAATGTCTCCACAGTGTTGAAGGGAAGAAATACTTTGAATGTGAGAACAAATATGGCGCATTTGTGAAGCCTGTGAATGTGATTGTAGGAGACTTCCCTGAGGAGGATTATGGTTTAGATGAGATGTAGAACTTCACAGTCTTTCTTTCCTGAGCTTTAAGCCTCAGCCTGTTCTCCATTCACCAACCAGAGATGAAGGAGAGTTGTCTTTGCATCTTAGTTTGTTTTTTGTTAGTTTGTTTAGTGCTTCTCTGGAAGGCATGATCCAAAGGCATTTTAGCCTCAAGATCCCTCTGAGTAACTTCACTGCAGCATGACAGAAGTTACTGCCCTGTAGTGATCTCTTTGTGAGCTGTTACAGTAGTAAAAGAGGATAATCACTAAATGAGCTCATACCAACAAGGGTTTGTTTATGTTGCATGTGAGACAGTGTAATGAAAATCAATTACATTTCTCTTCATTTAGTTCACATCAGTTTGTACAAAGATGTTTGTATATAACTGTTAATAGTAAACTGTAGTCTTATCATTTTCAAGACATTACTGAGAGAGCATTCCAAGAATTGGACAACTGTTTGTCAAAACAAACATCTCCCCTAAAATGCTTTGACACTAAAAAAAAAGTGGTATTGTTGTGTGTTTTGCTAACATGATGTGCAGTTGAGTTAAAGCAGAGAACCATTTTCCAGTCATTGGTAGTGAAATTCATTCTGCTGTTTTTTATTAACAATTGACAGACAGGAAATTAACAGTTGAAGAAGGAAGAACAACAAATCCCACAAGTGTTAGTTGTATTTTGAGTCTGGTGTACCCACCTTCACCTTACTGAGAGAAAACTGTTGTTCCTGTCTACTGGCATTGGAGTTAACACTGTCTAAATATGGGCGTTATATTTGGAAGAAGTGTAAAGAGGGGAGATGGTTTCTAAACAACTTTATTTTATTTTATTTTTTCTTTGTGTACACTGTGTAAAACAGCCCCAGTGGATATAAGATGTAGTTCTTTTTATTTTTCTGTGACTGAAATCCTCTTGTTGAAAATTAAATTGTTTGCACTTGAATGTGTCTTGCTTATATTGAACCATCAATTAAAAATAAAGACATTTCAAGTTTAAAATTTTGAAGGGGCTTGAATTCACTTTTTTTTAATACATGTGATCACTTTAACTTATGCACTTAATTTAAACTGAGCTCTGTTTGTCATAGTGATGGCTAAATCCAATAATTATGGAGAATGTATTCTAAGAATTGGCCAGTGGAGATTTGCATATTATAACATTCTCCAAAATAGCTGATTCTTCTCTGTCTTTAGAACTCAAACTGATCTGTGTGATTAAATTTAAATTTACAGAAAGTTCAAGATAGCATTTGATTTCATGTTGTTCCAAATAGGCTAAATTTCATATGTTGTTTTTCATTCCTCCAGTTCCATATAAGCATGACTCAGAATTAAACTCCGTAAATCTCTGTTAGCACTTAGCCCTTTCTACAGCGTGCAATTACCTTTTTCATCCTGTAGTATTAGTCTTTTGTTCTGTTGAGTAGTTTAATAATAGATCATTTAGTGGCGATGGTAAAGTCTGTAACATGCCGTTTTTGTTTCCCATTAGTAGTGTAAGCATAAAATGTACCTATGAGATGTACAATGCACCTTTTAGCTGTACATTTACACCCGGTTGGCAGTCACAGTAATATTTCTAAACACAAGAAACTGCAGCACCTGTAAAGGTTTCACAGGTTTACTGCTCCTGTATCCACATGTTACAGTGGATGGTCTTGTGTTTATGTCTCTGAACCATCTTAACAGTGAACAGCTGCCTCAGTCCTTTTCCAATTAACTGCTGTTCTTTCCACTACAGTCACAACACTCAGCCTAAAGAAAATGTATACATACATGTTTATGTCCATTTGGAGAAATGAATGAAATTTGGAGATTTATTGCTTAATAACTTGTCTGTAGCTGTGTTTTAATACTAAGTAGTACATATTTTCCATTTCCCCTTTTAAGACAGCTCTAATTTTATTGTTACAAAATGCATGACTTAGCACAGTGTTTCATGCCACTTCATCAGCCTTGTTGCAAAAAACAATTTACAATATTTATCAGTGGCTGAGGCCGCTTACCCCAGCAATTGTTTTTATATGAGGTCAATTGGCAAATGACACAGACAACCACAGCAGTTTTTTCTCACCAATAAACAAGGTCTCAAGAATAAACAGCACCCCTTGAAATTAAGCTGTGTACATTATTACCCTCATGTCGACATGAAATGTAGCTTTTGTAATATACTGAGTCAACAGACTATCTGCTTGTTACCTGTACACATACTTTAGAAACATCTGGGAAACTACTTGAATGATATTTTGTTGTACTACTTTGTAAGACCTCCAAAAATTACATCAGGGTAAAGTTTTTACATTACTCTTTGTAAATTTTTTATTTATAAGATGAGATGCCTTCAGGTAAAAAGTGATTTAAAAAACAACAAAATTGATATAATTGATATATACACTTCTGTTAAAACTACATGAGATGCTGTGGTTTAGTGACATTTCATTGTAGACTAGATTTTTTTCCTTTCTTTTATTTAAAAATAATATTTATCTCACTTCAGTTCATACCTCTGTTATTTCACTACTGTTACTGTCACTTTTGCTCTCACTTGTGTTAAAGCTTGAAACAAAAAAAGCTTCAAAATTCACGAGATACTGTAATTTAGTGGCATTTCATTGCAGACTAGATTCAATCCTGACTGCATCATTTCATCATTGAAGACTCGCGTCATTCCAATGACGCTACAACTGACGTCTCGCGAGACTGAACGCAGTTTTCTAGCCAGTAGTGTGGTGTGCGTGCGCGACAGAGAAAAGGAAATATGGCGACACAGGAGAGTGAAGCAGTCAAAGCTACTGTGAGCAACGGCGAGGTAAAATTAATGACATTTGTGTTGCCTTTTTTACTTTTAATGAACATGGATAGTGGGTCACTTTGTTTGTTTGAGCGTTGAGTCGGGGACTGTTAACACTTAAACGTGTTACTCATCGTTACATGAGCCCCAGTGACGTTGTCAGTGCCGGTTGGTTTTAAAACGGCCCCCTCCTGTCGATAACGATGTGCTGAGAAACCCTGGGTGTTAGCGAACAGATGTACCGGGGGAGAGGGTCGTTAACGGTGACATCTCACCTGAAGATTTACGCTAAAATAAATCTCAAAAGATGAATAGCTGACTTCAAGCGTGTTAGCGTCAGCCAGGTGATTCTTGTAGTGTGCCAGTTAGCTAACGATTATCACAAGGCCTGAACCTGAACAACGCATCTCGTTTAACCAGGCCAGTCTGAAGCAGCTCACACACATTTCTTACCCAATGTCAAATCTTGTCACCTGCCTTTTATTTACGGTCATCAGGGGATTTTTGTTTTGGCTTAGTATACATTTTTTCTGGCAGCTCATCTTGTTAAAACGGACACGATTAGGTTAACGTTATGTGAACTCAAGGTGATATTCTTCCAGTTTTCTGTAATCCGGGTAAAACGACTTAAACTCTCCTATAATCGTGGCGGTATCTAGCAGCTAGCAGTTAGCTATTTTCAGGATGACGAATGCCTGTCACAGATTACCAGAGGTCATAGTGAATCATTGCTCCATAAAGGCAAACCACTGGTCCTCCTTGTGCTTAAAATAAAGGCTGTGCCACACAAATACAGAATAATTAAATGAAAGATCTATTCTTTCGCTTTTAAATCTAGATGCTTTTGGTTACATTAATCAGATTCTCGTGACATTTTTGTCCACAAAGTTGGTGTGTTTTTATGTTTTGCAAAAAAAAAAAAAAAAAAACCACTGCTGTAAAATGTTGAGCATTTTTAGTTGTCAGGGATTTATCTTTAAGAAAAACTTATGCTTGGGTCTGTGATTGAAATGTATTGATAAGAGATAAGTGGTTGAAAGTAGGGCAAGCATATTACATGCACTTATCTCTTTGGTAATAAAATCTGACTGTTTAGGTTCGGGTAAGGTGTATTGGTGGGGCAGAGAAATGAGTGCGGTATTAATCCAGGGGAAATGCTAAGTGGCTAGTAGC